ACGCTTAGGGATCCATTGTTTTATTCCTCAGATATATGGGCTTTTAGCTGTATGGAATCAAGATGGAAGTATCTATAAAGCTTTCAAACGCCTATCTAACAGAGGATAATATCAAATTTGTATTGAAGAAATTCATGTCAAAACACTTTGTCCGTACACTAAAGCTAACCTCATCCAGAAGAAACTTGGTCTGCTGTAAAAACAATGAGAAAGTACTTCATCAAAAAGAACCAAGCAACTGTGTCTCAGTAGCTTATTCAGTACTAATTGATGCTAGAATTTTCAAAAGAATGGATACTGAACAAACAATAGTCTTTTCGATAAATTCATTATTAGGCTCTTCAGTTAAATATACATTTTAGTGAATGAATGAATTAGTGTTATGAACAACATTAATGTGGTTTTAATGACATCGAATCAATAATATCAATAGATTACAGTTCAAAACTATCAACACAACAATAAACTGAATGTCAGAAAGGCAAATGAGGAAAGATAATAATACAATGAATTCATGAATCTATAGTCTCCACTGAAGGCCTGTCAGGGCAGTAGTAGTGGCTGGCTGGACTTGCTTCTTCCGAACATAAAGCACTGGTTGTTGTTTCACATGAATCACGATAGCCTTTGCTATTTGGAGCATGCGGTACTTCGGTGTTTTTGGCAATTTATTTGGGACCCGATGGCTGATCATAGAGAAAGATTCTTCGATGCTGGCTGGCTTTGTGGGCTGTTCGGACCAGATGGTCTAATATCGAACTGTCGATGAGTTTTATTACACCTTTAATTAGCCACACTAGTAGATGTTCCCAAGCGAGCACGCGCGAACAATCAAGTTCCTAGAGCAATGGCCAACATAACTCGCTCCACTACATGCGTAGTTGAATTGGCAGATATAATTAGAAGTGGGTAGTCTAGATACTTCATCTTTCAGTCGAGGAATCACCATCGGTCGTGTAGAGAATAAAACGTATAGTTTGCCAGCATTAAAAGTTCTTTGAACTGATTTTCTTAATTTCTTCGTAGTTATTTCGCTTGGTATATCACCCTTGAATTGCAGTCGTATATAAAGAGGTTTCTTGTTTACGGATAGTGAGTAGTCCTTTTCCGCTCTCTTTGTCATGTGTTTCTTGATAAATTTGTCGGGATAGCTATTTCCAATCAAGGTATAATATACAGTACTTAATTCGTCTTCAATTACTTCTTCTGAGCATATAGCTCTAACTCTGTGGCTGAGGTTCTTTACTAAATTTCTCTTGTACTTGAGAGGAACGAAGCTGTGAAAATTTGTATGTTGTTCTGTCCATGTACTTTTTCTATACAAATTTCTTTTTGTTTTTTTACTCTGAAAGAAGACAAAGTCGAGAAGGCTGTTTCCAATCTAAAACCAGACAACACTTGACGGTTTGACTGCAAAAACAACATAATATATTGGTAAACTATTATTGGTCAAGTTAAGTATCTATCTACTCCGACTACAGTGGAATACTGCTAAAAGCCACTAGCTCTGTGCTCCAACTTGAAGCATTTAAGATATTGACTCGAAAACTTCAATTTGTATAACTGCCTGAGGACTAAACTTTATTACCATTTATAAAAACACTCATCTCAGTGCAAATATGACGCCGGTAACTTATCCTTTTTACTCTATGATATATAATAAGTATTTTATTAATTTATCTACAACATATAATGATTTAAGCACGGTGATTGTAAGCTTAATTCACAACTGATGAGTCTCACTTAACACAGTCAAGTAGATGTTGGAAATAAATCAATATTCTCTTGTGCTATCTGTTAAACACTGCTTCCATATTAGATAAGTTCATTTGACATAACATACTGTAGGTGATACGGTATTAATATAACTGGATGACATTTCAAGAACAATTAATTGCTTTCAATCATATCAGTATACAGACGGCGCCGAAGAAACTACTGTTTATGAGTGTTGAATTTAAAGGTGATACCGCAGCTGAGATCCTGAAGAATCGCTTATGCAGATCACTGAGGAAAGCCTTCTTTATGGCTGAGCTACGTATCAACTTCTACAGCCGACAAATGATCAACGGGTGTGTGAAGGATAAACTGCCGCTTTGGGCCACTTCAATGTGTGTTTATAAATTCACTTGCTCGTATGGAGCTAGTTATATTGGCTGCACAAAGCGCACACTTTCCAAATACTTCTCTGAACATTATCCGGCATGGTTAGCAAAGGGACAATGTAAGACAATTACTAGCTCAATTCTCGAGCATTTGGTGAACTCAGGCCACGTAGCTCCACCAGAATCGTCTTTCAAGTTTATCTACAAAGTGAAGCCAAATGGTACAAAGGGTGCCAGGTTTCGGCTTTTGTGTATGGCGGAGGCTCTGGCAATTCATCAATACAACCCTGAACTCTGTATACAGAAAAAGTTTGTCCAGTCTCTTATTCTACCTTGGTCTTAACCTCTTCACTAATCGTTCCTTGTAAATAAAAAAATTTTTGATTTTTCTTTTCATTCTAATTTCACTTTTAGTTAGCTTTTGCTTTAATAATTAATTCACTATTATCACTCTCATATGCTCCTTTTGTATATTTTCACACCCTCTCCACACTTGTTAAATTGACACTCAAATACCTTTATTCTCACTTAATAGCAATTTTAACCTTATCAAATTTCTATCTTTCTGCCCTTGAGTACCACGTAATTTTCAACTTCTAATTTTCACTTCTAAAGCCACTTCTGAGTAATTATATCAATTATGTCACCCCCTATTACTCAATAGTAGACCACTATATATTTTTGTAAGTATAAATACGATTGTACAGCCTCTGAAGATGATTTCGTCGATAAAGAAAATTTTCTTCGCTGAATCTGTCTTTTGTTTTCTTCATATCAGTATACTCAAACGGTCCTATAATTTGTTTCATGCATTTCCACTCCCCTCTTCCATGTTATTTATTTCAATAATTTAAATTTCCTGACGAAATGTAGTTTATTGCATAAATTGGGCGATTGTGACAATTGATGATGTTTTCGTTCAGAATGCTGTTTACTCTGAAAATTGTTCTCTATATAGAGTTATACTACTGATAACTGTATAAAGTAGCACAATTGAATATTGAAACAGTTTTTCAACAGAGTGGTTACTGAACAAAGAATATTCATTTCGATAACTTCATCATCAGGTAGGTTCTACAGTTACATATACTTAATGGTGAATGAATTAGTTTCATAAACAAACGATAGTGATTCCCCAGCTCAAAGATGAAGTACCTAGACTAGATACCTCCTCTTCTGTCTACCAATTCAACTGCACTTGTAGTGGAGCGAGTTTTATCGACCGTTGCACTAGGAACCTGATTTTTCGTGCTCGCAAGGGAATATCTTCCAGTGTGGCCTAGTAAATGTGCAGTAAAATCCATCGACAGTTCGATATTAGACCATCTGGTCCGAACAGCCCACAAAGCCAGCCAGCATCGAAGAATCTTTCTCTATGATCAGCCATCGGGTCCCAAATAAATTGCCAAAAACATCGAAGTACTGCATGCTCCACACAGCAAAGGCTATCGCAATTCGCATGAAACAACCAGTGCTTTGTGTTCAGAAGAAGCAATTTAAGCCAGCCAGCGACTATTTTTCCCTGGCCGGCTATTAGTGGAGACTATAGATTCATGAATTCATTGTATTATTATCTTTCCTCATTTGCCTTTCTGACATTCAGTTTATTGTTGTGTTGATAGTTTTGAACTGTAATCTATTGATATTATTGATTCGATGTCATTAAAACCACATTAATGTTGTTGGTAATACTAATTCCTTCACTATAATGGATGCACATAACTGTAGATCCTGATGATGAATTTATCGGAAAGAATATTCTTTTTTCAGTAACCATTCTTTTGAATACTGGGAAACGGTTTCCCGCCCAGGTTCATAGACAAGAATCTCAAATCTAAGAAGACTTCAGAACAAGTCCAATCCGTTCCAAAGAAAATACTTCTGCTTAATCTAGAATTCAAAGGTGATATTGAAGCAGAAATCCTTCGCAAACGCCCCTGCAAATCTCTTAGGATAATATACTTCGCCACGAGCCTACGACTGACGTTTTCTTGCAAGAAACTGTTCAGCCAGAACGTGAAAGACAAGCCGTCGCATTGGGCCACCTCAACCTGCATATACCAGTTTACTTGCTCTTGTGGAGTTGAGTTCATCGGCCGTACCATGCACCGACTTGGAAAACGCGCTCGCGAACACTACCCAGCCTGTCTAGTAAAAGGAGACCGAAAACGTGTATACAGTTCAGTGACAGAACATCTGGTCAACTCAGGACATTCAGCGCCTTTCGAAAAATCCTTCAAAGTAATATACAAAATTCAATCAAACCTATCAAAGGGAGTCAAATCAAGACATCTGGGCATAGCTGAGGCGCTAGCTATCCAAAAGCTCAAATCCACGCCTTGTATCCAAAAGAATTACGTCCAACCCCTGTCCCTGCCATGGCCATCATAAACAGGTAAAATTTTTAGTAATGACAATCCCATCGCCTATCTTATCCAAACTTCCCCTTAATTCATGTTATTTTAAGTTTTCTTAATCCCTGTCTACCCTACCATATTTTCATATCCACACTTCCTGTTTATTTTGTCATTTTACTATTTCTACATATTTAATCCCTGATTGCATAAACAATTATTCATCATATTAATTTTTATCCAAACATCCTGTATATTTTGTTATTTCTACATTTCTAACCCCCAATTGCACAATGTCAATCGTCTTAGTTATTATAATGCTACTATGTTTGAGGTTTACCCGTCCCTCTGTTTATTTTGGCATTCTAATTCCTAATTGTAATTTGTATTAATTTGACCCTTAACCGGAAATTATTCTGGAACTTTCCCATCCATTTGATATAAATACACGAATGTACAGCCTAGATGATGACTTCGTCGAAAGGAAAATTTTCTTCGCTGCAATTGTCTTTTTACTGAGAAATCATTGCAAAAAAGGAGGGATCCATTGAAGAAGGTATATTTGTGATACATATATATACGTGTATTTAATTCAGTTACGCAGTCCACAAAGACAATAAGGATGAAGTCATACAAAATAAGGACAAATTCACGTAGACATATACATAAAAAGAGAATGGAAACTTTCACTACTCAGAAAATGTCATGATTCTTCAAGGAGAATAAAACGGAAGTGATTTGAGAGGGAGAGAGGGAAAGGGTGAGTGACAGAGGAGTTGTTTTTTATCACAAATACCAACTGGAATGTTTTCAGGACGAAAAAAAGAAAAGAAAAACAAAACATCATTCATTATGTTCCCAAAACCTTTAAGATTATAAAACAAACACCTTGAAAGCTAAAAATGTTTTTGCTTTAGAAGTTTTTAAAAACAAGAAGTTGGTTAATTCGTCACATTTCAATTCCGTCGTCAGAGAAAAAGACCAGCATAAATTTTGTAGATGATTGAGTGACATAATCATGAGTGAGCGAATGAAACAGTTACAAATCAAATCAAATCAAATTGAATCACAATGCTTGTGTAAAGTGGAAAAAAACAAAACAGATCACAAACTTGAAATCATGAAATCATCAAATATCTGAGAAAATTTACCACAGACAACGATTATTGAGGAGATCAGGTTTTTTTATTTTTTCTCGACTTGTATAATTGATGGAATGCTTATAAATGAAATAGATAGGGTGTGACAGGGACAAACAAGAACTAAACCAGTATGCATATAGAAGTTGTTTTAGATAACCTTTGAACTTTCAAGCTACTGAACCGGTTTGATTAACACCAGTTTTCAACCTAAATAATTTCGAGGATAGTGAAGTGGAACGTGGCTTTTTAGGATTGGTTGATGTTACCTTGGGAATGAATTTTTGCTGTCTATTCAAATGATTGCTATTATTATCATTATTATTACTACTATGCTTTAATAAATGACGATCAGCATAAGAGTCCATAAGTACATCTTCATCACTATTTTGATTGTGTTCATTGTATTTTGTTTGTTCTCTTCCTGCTCCTCCGCCATTTTCTTCTTCTTCCTCTTCATCGATATAATCATCAAGTTCTTGTTCAGCAAAATAATCTGGACCATTACTATTACGTATAAGTGGTCGAAAACCAGCCTGTTTATTTTTCTTTAACTTTCTCTTAGCTGACCATCGTGAATAGATACCATTCATATTGGTATTTGAATCGGATGATTTCGGTGAAATTGCGAATACCTTACCGTCATGTTTACCACGTCTAGCAGTTGCAATAGTAGCAGCAGTAGTCGACCGACGTCCACACCAACAGATACGTATACATCCAATTAACAAGAAGATAATCACAATGAATAGGATAATTGAAAGAGCAGTTAACTGATAGGGTGTTAGTGTATGCAGATTCCATATTTGATAATTGGTGACAGCTACAATCTCAGCTAACTCCTTTCTTCCATCTATACCTTTAATATCTGTGCAGATAAAGAGGGTAAAAAAAAGACAGAAGGAAGGCATAATAAGCTAAAATCTTCACACTATAATAATTAATAAAGTTATGTATTATGTGCTTTGACTATTTGCTCTGTTCAAGTTGATTTTTGATTCTCCTGTCCACCGACTGACTGATGTGTCGGCTCCTAGCATGAATGCCTCGACAATGCCAAAGGATTGTCTTGAAGCGTCAAAACAAGGAGACGACATATCAACAGAAGTCAAACATTTAGGTCCAATCAATCAATCAGGCAACGGAAAAATCAATGACTGACTTAAAATCAATAAAATCTAATACACTTGGCACAAGAGGTGGATGCTATGACCCAATTAGTCTAGTGGGTAACGCCTAGGAACCGCATCACTCACTGGGGATTACAACCACATCCAGATGACGAGTTCCAAAGTGAACTCCACTACAAGTCATGATCTACCAAATAACTTCATATGCTTTAGCCGTTGCCGTAAGCAGTATGCTCAGTAATTCAAGGCGAAAGAATTAATCGAAATCGACATTGTGAATGTATAGGTGTACAGAACAAATTAAAACAATAATAATCAATAATTGTTTAATGCATTCGTTTAAAAAGAGTGTTGCTGCTCGCCCTCATATGACTAAAATATTTATTAGGCAATGAATATCGCACAGAATTATTTAACTGATTCACATTTATCATTAATAATTTACACGATAAACAGCTAAAATAATTACTGACTTTACATTTTGGTCAATTATTTATCAGTATGGAAAGAAAGGTGTCTCGGTGTGGTTTAGTAGTGCATTGATTTCCAACTGCATCGTAAGTGGTCTGAGGTTCTCTGCCGAGCCGGCATGAAGTTTTGGATCTGGTGGCCCTTTTCAGAAAGGAATACCTGCAATCTTGAAGGAATTCATGTCCCTTCCGATGTTAGAACCTGGGCCACCGAATGAGCAGTTAGAGGCGTTAACAATGAGCGCCTAGCATGATGGCCACACTGCAAACTTTTTTTTCCTTCACGTTCCCCAGTGGAACATTGGGCTTCAAGCTAGTGGCTTGAAGTTTCTGTAGCAGTGTTTATTTTTACAGGATGGGGTTGCTAGCTTCATGCCCAACCTTTCCTCTTTACCAGCATTATTTCTGGTTTAGCGAGGTAAAGGAGTGCGTCGGCCGGGGATCGAACCCCGGACCATGTGCATGGTCGGCGAGCGTCCTAACCGCTATACCACCGACGCACCACTGCAAAATTAACTGACAGAATTCAGTCTGTACCAACAACGAGGACTAGACGTATGATATTAGTTAATGCTTAGTGTTTCATTAAACCTCAATGAGCTGGTAGTAAGCCCATCAAAATAAGAAGACTATTAATGAAGCCGGTAGCTCTACTCTCTAAAAATAACTGTGACTGCTACTGAAACTATAATCTCACCAAGTTTACCAAATCGCTAGTTTTCTAGCTGATTCCAAGCCCAAGAAAAGAGGCAGTGTTAAGCATGGTGCTAGCCACCCTACACCACAAAAGCTATCAAACTGCTACAGAAACTTCAACGCACAAGAAATGCATTAAAAATACCAAAAATATAAAAAACAAAATTATTCTTCGCTCGAATCGGAGAGGCGAAATGACACAACGGGCTGGTTAAAACCTTCCGGAAGCCAGCCAGTAAGACGATGTATATTCTATCGATGAATGCAAGAATAAGAATGGGGACGTTGGATGTCCCTACAATGAACAAGGCTGGGAGGGCTGCTAAAATAACTAAAGAAATGAGAAGATATGGTATGGAAGTGCGTGGACTCTGCGAGAGCAGATGGAATGGATGTGGACTAGCAAAATCATCAAATGGAGAGTCAGTAATATACTCCGGTTGTCTAGACTGCAACCCCGAGCACACTGAGGCAGTAAGTGGCTATCGTGATGTCACCAGTGGCAACCAAAGACTTAATGCAGTGGAAACCAATCTCCTCCCACATGATAATGACAGCTAGATTGACCTCAAAAGGAAGGAAGGCAGGAAGGTTACAATTATCAAGTGGAACGCACAACGCTACAAACAACGCGGAACAAGAGAAGAAAAGTTGTTTTTGACAAGAGAAAACGATAATGGACAACGTCCTAATACCGAATTCCTTATGAGCGATTTGAATGCCAGCTAACTGGGAGTAGATAATACAGGAAGATAACTCATCATGGGTCACGAAACTCTCTGTTGGCGAAATGAATGACAATGAAGAACCTTTTGCAGACTTCGGAGCTACACTGGTTTGGTGATCAGAAGCAGCGTGTACAAACACAAGGATATACATAAAGCAACATGGATTTCGCCTGACGGACACACCACGAACCATATAGATTTCATCTCAATGCTGCTCAAGGAAGCGGAGACGCAGCTAGCTTGCTTGATACAAAGTCGAGAAGGGGAGTAGATTTGGTTTCATACCGTCACCTAGTTCAAGGAACCTTGAAGATCAGCCTTAAACACGCTACAATTCAAGTTCAACACTCAAAAACTGAAGATCTGGAGAGAAGGAGAGTTACCTACCGATTGGAAGAAAAGCTACCTCGTCAAGCTATCAAAGAAGAGCAACCTAGGCCTCTGCAGGAACTGGCGTTAAATCATACTCTCGTCCACGCCAAGTGAAATACTAACTCGCATCATCCTGGAGAGAATAAAGGATGCACTGGATACAGAACTCAGCTCGCCCACCGGAACAAAATGGATTCAGGAAAGGCAAATCATGTTCTGATCAAATTGCAAATCTACGCATCGTCATCACAGAACAAAGGATAAACCTCAGCAACCTCATCGACTTCGAAAAGGCCTTCCGTAGCAGGGTTGACCGAGAAGTAATATAGAAATTTCCTCAACACTACGGCATGAAATGCCCGATTTTTTATCAACATCATTCGACCACAGCTATATATATATGAAATGCAACATGTATCAGGTGATCCACAACGGAAAACTCAGCGTGGCGTTCGAAGTGCATACAGGAGTAAGACAAGATTGCCTGCCTACTATCACCGATGATATTCCTAATTGTGGTTGATCGGATTATGCGTCAGACTGAGCAGGAGAGTGAAAAGACAGAAATACGTTAAACTGACCGATAAGACAACTCTAGAAGATCTGGATTTCGTAGCGAATGATTTATATTTATTGTCACACAAACTCGAAAACTCATAAGCGAAAACCAAAAACTGGATGAAAAAGCAGCCAGAGAAGACAGGACTGCAGGTGAACATGGAGATGGTAGTGATGAAGATAACGAACCACCACCAACAGCGGCAACAGCCAGAACCAATCATAGTTAACAGGAGCAATTCGGAGGAGGTTACTTCCTTCACTTATCTAGGAGGCATAGTCTCAACCACAGGCGGATGGCACGGATGAAAATGTCAAAGCCAGTCAGCCAGGATGAGAAAGGTAAGATACACCTTCAACAATCTGAAACCATTTTGGAAATCTTCTGCACTAACTCAGTCTGCATCAACAACGAGATTCGAAATTTCAACACAAATGTGAAGTCAGTCAGTTCTTCTATACGGGTCAGAAACCTTGTCAGTGTGTCCCGAAAAACATTTCCAACAGCCTACTGCAGACTTTTGTCAACAGCTCCTGCCTTTACTGGCATCATACTTAGGATCAAACGGCAAGAAAGAAATACCAACAAGAAACTCTGCCCGGCTGGGAACAAACCACCCGAGAGCCTATTGATCAACATATATGTAGGAGAAAATTGAGACAGATGGAGCTTACGTTGAGGAGATCACCGAATGACACCGCGCTCAATGCAGACAATTACTCAAGTGGAATCTCAATGGGAAGCGACAAATGGGTCGTCACATCCATAGTGACATGGAAAAGATGAGAGATTATTGTCAGCCGTGGACACAGCTTAAAAGGACAGCAACAAATAGAACAAAAAGGAGATGTGTTGTTAAATCCCTGTGTTCCACTGGGAACCCAAGGGAATAATAATAATCCCAAAACTATGGAGCTTAAGCTTTGATGCCTATGTTCCACTCCGAATGCAAAGGAATGAAAAAAATTGAAAGGGGAAATATTTTTCTCAAGTTTCCCAACTCACATGTAGCCTTATAAAAAGACATAGAAATATATCAGCTATACACTTTTTGTACACTTTTCAAAACACCATGGTTTCTTTTCTTTTCTATATGATTTTTATTATCACCTCAGGAAACGATATGATAAGCTAAATTCTGACAAATACTGAACACTTTTTTTAAGGAGAAGACTTTTGAAATCAAGATTGTAGGGTGTTTCACCAACTAAGGTTAAGTGAATAAAAGGCTGATTATAATTATTTGACACACAGATACAATAAGGTATGAGGCATACAAGATCCTTCTCTGTCTTAGAGCTCTTAAACTAACGTTTTCTCTCATTTCCAGAATATGATGTAATAGTGAATGGTGAGTAGTTAAGAATCATTATTATCAATGTGTAGTACTCCCCAGTTGGCTGTTTTACTCATCTCGGAGCGGATGTATTATTACTTTTTACCTAGTATTATTTGGTTAGGATAGTTGAAGGGTTCAGATAGCGAGAAAGACGCTGAAGTATTTTGTAAGGTCTTGGATGTTAGATAGACTACGATGAAGTTGGATCAAACCTTTTCTCCAATAGCTTTCAATTAACAGCTTATATAACAGAGTAATATAAATAGTGAGGAATAATTTTGTATTTGTCATCTTCGATATAACTTAAAAAAGAAGACAATATACATAAGGAGTGTGCATAAATCACTATATGTTGTGAAAATTGCTCTTCTATCCACCAATAACAAGTAAGGGGCTAACATTGTCTCACATGCCTACACGATGGAAAATCTTATCTGAAAGTATTCATACTACTGCATGGAAGATTCATACTTTATAGTAAAGTATGCTATTTCTTATCTCACTATGAAATGTTTGATTATGAACTGATTTATGTTAGAGAAACATTGAAAACCAGGGGGCATTTGGCAGTTGT